TTACTATAGATAAAAGTACAATTACGCAATGTAAAAGGCATTGATATAATTGAGAGGGCCCATTCTACGCACATGCCGCGTTATAACGAAATGTACATAAAATACTTAATAAAACAGTATTTCTTCCGTGATTTTCAGTATTAGCACTCAATTTTGTACGAGTTTAGCGCACCCTAAGCATCAGGGCTTATGCATTTTTTGGATACTCAATCATACATCAAGATTGGACTCATTTGTATCTCAGAAAGGAGCTTGGCTAAATCAAAATGCAGCATTAGGTCAACATATTCCCCTCCTTCGGTGGTAATTCAGGGGAAACACTGAGGACATTTTCCCTTCCTCTACTTACCCAGAGTTTGCTCTCAAAATAGAAAGCGTCGAGCAGTTGGACGATGTTTTCGTGATCGCAGGAGGCCAGGATGTCGATCTCAACCATGTAGTCCTCCAACTCCTCCTCCGTTTTTGTGTCAATAACTTTGGCTGCGGCGAGAATTCCCGTCTGTTTGTTCTGAGCCTGTCGGATGAGAATGTTATTAGACCGTTGTACGGACGGATGAGTCATGCAGTTATCCGAGTCACTGTCAGAAAATGTGTGATTGTTCTCATTTCCTGCACACTCTATGTTAAAGTCTCATTAGGCCAAACTTACTTCATATTATTTGACTGCAAGCCGTCTTGAGCTCATTATTGCAACACACATCTCCCATAACCATTAAGTGGATGTAAAAACAACATTTAAAAAAGGTCCCATTATGTTTTCCCTTCCCTGTAGTCCGTTTTAGGTTTTTGTGCATGTAAATGGTCTGCAAAAGCTAAAATCACGCAGTTCCCTGCAGAGGGATTTTCTCTCACACACACTCCCCCTGCCTGAAACGCCTAGATGGAGTCCTTTGTTTACTTCCTAGCATCGTGACATCACTATGTAACATTCGCGCCGCTATTGGACAGCGCTCCAACCAGCGTTTCCGCCAGGGGGGCGTCTTGCCGTCATTTGACGCCCTTATTCAGCGCGGAACGCCCTGAAGGCGAGCCTTGACGGGGGTGCTAGTGGAGAACGCGCGTGAACTGCGAGCACCGGAGCCTCGCAGCGGCGAAACTGAGGCTCCGTGGTAAACTGTGGTAAAATGAAGAGCCGTTTAAGAGCCGGCTCTTCTTAGTGAGCCTTCCCTGAAGAAGAAGTGACCCTTCGTTAGCGTGAAGAGTCTGCTTTATGCGCTCCACAGTAGCCCCGCTGAGAGACTCCGGCGAGTTCACAGTTCATGAGCGTGCTCCACTAGTGTAGCACCCAGCCCCCCCGCTCAACAACTTCAAAATGCTGGCTAATGCCCCGGCCACACGAGGACGAAAACGGTCGTTTGCGTTACTGTTTAGTGTCATATAGACCGTTAGGCCACACGAGGACGACCGAATACGGCACTAAACGACTGCGTAAACGATAACGGGTCCCAAGGTGGATAGAACGGCATATCTAACGCTCTGGGGGGTCCAACGGCTCCATGTGTACGCCCTATACGATCATTTTCTGATAATGATGAGGCAATAGCCCCGCCTCTCCCCACCTCTGCTGCTCACCCCCGCATCAAAGTAAACTACACACTGAATTCAGATTATTTATCTTTCTCTCGATATGGACATAAACGCGAGTGAAGTCTAATCTGACAGGACGGAGACACCTCTCAAACTACCTAAACTAGTTATAAATATGTTTATTTTTACTGTCGGCCGGGTCACTCATTACTGGATCAGCTGCTGCATGAAACAGACACTGGCGCTGTCCGAAGAGAGGGAGGAAAAAGAGAGGCTCCGTGTATTTTATTATTATAATATATAGATTCGTTATTCATTTGTTTTAAAGCTCAATAAATAACAAAGAAGACATTTGACCGGCACTTTTATAATTTTGTCGGAAGATTTAAACTTTAATACACGTTGACTGGCGAAAAACTCTGCCCGGTTCCCTCGGCCCCCACCGCGGAGAATAAACAGAAGGGCAACCATGACAACCATGCTTCTTCGCTGCTTTTGTGGAGGAAGTTACAGCGCCACGTACAGGCTCGGCATATGTACTGCAGCTTCTCCAGCGGTTGGAGCTAAACGGAGCTGTCTCGTATGGACAGACACTATCCGGATGACTATTGCGTGTGGACGGAAGCTTTTTTGCGATTGCGTTTGCGTTAATCCTATGCGTTTAGCCGTTTTCGTCCTCGTGTGGCCGGGGCATAAGTCCCGGATCTCATGCAATCCTAAATCCGCCTCTGCTAAGGGGCGGGACATTTCAACACATCTCTAAGAGGTTGACCAATCAAAACAGAGCTGGCAAGCTAACCAATCAGAGCAGACTGGGCTCTGGTTTCAGACAGAGGGTGAAAAGGGGTGCTGCAGCACAGGCAGTAGGATAAAATAAGATAATTAAAGCATGTAAACATGTCAGAGTAGAGAGGCACTCAAAACAAATATGAACCTGAAATGTACATAATATATCTTCCTAGAAAACACTTATTTTTAGCTGTAGGTAATAGTTAGATTTGTCTTGTTAAAGTGGAAATGTCTCTCCTGTTTGTTTTGGCTTCTCTGCAGGCAGGATGTGCTCAATGAAGTCGCCGCTGCGATATGGGATGCAGCCACATCCTGATGACCTGCCTGTGTTCCACCGTCAGTCAAACACCAGTGTGGACTATCCCAGTGAGGCATCAGTGCAGTGGGACATTACAACTAGAATGGCCAAAATCCCATTCATATAAACATAACACTGCAATTTACTATTTATAGATCTCCATCAGCTTGACTCTGGAATGCCAGTGCCAATTGGGCAAACATGAACCGCTTTCATGGAATAACAATAATAAATGGCGTTTTGATCATTTTCCTTTAATAATAAGTCTAGTTCACGTGAGCCTCCCTATTGGAATGCCCTGTGACCAAATCATTGTGCAAGAAGATTAGGCTTAATTTAAGTATGATACAAGGTAATACCAGCTTGAAATCTTGGGAAACTATTTCAAGTCCAAAAATAACATTTGGCAACCAAGAACAAAACATAACTGCGTTCATTAGCCACATACTTCCTGGTATTAGACTTGGTAGAGCCCTCCTGTGTGATAAGATGTACTGTCACTCATGCAAACCAAGGCCCAGCTATGCATTAGGGTCAAAGCACACAATGGCACTATTACAAAGATGACAAGGGAGTGGCTTTGGCATTCTGACCATGTAAAGGGGGTTTAAATATTTGGCTGTCTAAAAACAGCTGATAGGCTAAACAAACATCCACGAGCATCATAATAGTGCTGGTGCCAGCTATTGTTCTGTATCTGTACATAGGAAATATAGTGTAACTTGGTAAATCAGCATTGCTTGCCATTGTGACAGGTTGGTAAAAAAGACAGTTTCCAGCAATGAAAGGATCTGATGAAATGTGGATATCTGTCACATGAACAACCTTCCAGTAAATTGGAGAACAGTGAAGAGCAGCAGTCCAATTTGACACTTTGTCCACAGTGCTGGTTCCTTGTTTAATACAAGGTGGGTGGGTCACGGAAATACACCGAGGTGCCACTGCTGGTACTTGTATTATGCTTTAAAAATAGGATTATTTGGTAAGGAGACTCAAGTTTCGTCTCATTTCATGACAACACAAGTCTGACACACACACTTCAGCAAATAGAGGAAAGGCTACTGTCTACATAAAGCATCTCTTATTTCATACCTTGAACACTTTTCCAAAGGCTCCATCTCCCAATTCGCCGATAATGTCCCATATTTCCTCAGGATTTTCATCCCTGCGCACGTGTTCATACTGTTTCTTCTTCTTCTCTGATCCCAATTTAAAGATTTTACGGAAATTAAAAAATGACATATTGAATCCTCGGTCATTCAATAATGAAGATGACAAAGGAACTTTAACACGCCAAACTAGTGTCGGTTTCCTCGGAGAGTTTACTTTAGCATAAGTATTTGGAGTAGTGTCCCATCAGTTATAAATATCCGCTAGGTCAACACTGAGTAGCTTTCATAATAGTTGGGACCAAAAGCTAGCCTAGCCTTTGACACTGTTTTGGCCAGTCCGGAGAATAGCCCTTTCTCTTTGGGTCATTGTTAACCGCTAAATGAATAGCTAACGGGTAACGTAGACGTGTCCTAGCATTTAATATCCCACTGAACAATACTTTATTTTAATGCAAAGTAGTGAGGGAAGCTCGTCGTTGTTCCAATTCCTAACGACCCACTGGCCCGACAACCCTGTGGGGCGGCTCAGTCTCAACAAAAAGAAAAAACAAGATGAGTAAGGCGTCCTCCCAAATAGTTGTATTCCACAGAATAGTTTAGTTTCCTTGAGACGAAAAGCGGGTATAATTTGTCCGTACAATAACATAAGCTACAACGGTTGAAACCTTCATCTTTCCCTTGGTGTGAGACGGGTTTAGTAATCTAGCGGATTTAGTGTCTGAGCGCGTTCCCGTGTGCGCGCGTCTGCGGTTCTTTCTCTTCGTGCCCCTCGTGTTTGACAGTTGGCGCGGTAATTTCAGTCTTCTGCTGCCCTCGTCTGCATGGGAGACCAAACACAGAAAATGTGCTGGGTACTCAAACCATCAACGAAGATACTGTAGCAGATTTTCATCCAGACACATAATCAATATGCTGTTTATTACATGTATGTTGAAGTGTTTCTGTGCCAATCTGCCACCATCGCCTCTAAAAACAGTCGTGTTCCTTTGTGTGCCTGAAACTACATGTCCCATACACCATTGCGAAACACGAACGCATCATAAAGACTGAAAAATACTTTGCTTCTGCTTTTAAGTGTGTTTTATTAATATGATGTCATTGAAACCTCCCTAACCTGTCGTATGTGCATATTGCTGAACCACCGTAAATAAAGAATACTTATTTTTATTAAACTGAGCGTCACGTGACCAATATTTTGGTTCCTGCCAAGACCCATGCAGGAAGCACGCAGTAGCTAGCTTCTTCGCCGGTGTAGGTACCAGGAAGGCTTCTCAATACTCAAATGTCCCCTCCTCGATTCTATCTATATGGCGCTGGTCCTGCCCACAGGAGATGCGAGCGGAGGAGTCGAGGAGGGGAACCGAGGAGAGAGGAGGGGAAGCAGCTATGGAAGCAGCAGGCGTTTAGAGAAATGAGAAATCCTCTTCTCTGAGCGGTCTGAGACGTCCGTTAATGATGACAGGAGGCACATCCTATTTACTTTTAATTCATTGACAGTGCGGCTACAGATGCGGACATATACGACAGTACACACGTTCAGAGGATGAAGCTGTTAACGTGCTGCTACCATAAACTGAAATAGAATGATCAAGTTATTATAACAAATAACAAACTCCAGTGTTATAATTCCATATTCATAAATAAAATGACAAGTTCTTACGTTGAGTCTGGAATTTCTGGAATTTCTACATCTACATTCTAAATCATCAGTAAAGTCTCCGACCATATTTCGGAGGGAAATGCTACATATTAACTTTCTATTTTATGCATTTCACTTCTTCATTAACATTCCTTAATTAACACTTCACTTTCCTGACACAGTTACACTAACATACATTCACTGTCGTAACATACATTCACTGTCGATTGCTATTTTTTTTTTATATTCTTTGCGGAATTTGGCCGTGTAAAATGTCCTCTTGGGTTGCCGTACAGCCAATGCAAAACGTCATTGGTAAGCGTAACGGACCCCGAACAGATCTGGTAGGCCGAACACATACCTACACCGGTTCCACATAATAGGTAAGTAATCTGTTTTGTTTTCATAATGAAATGCAGGCCCCTACAATGGATCCAGCGGGAGAGCCCCCATCGATGTTATGGGGTTTGGACCCGATCTTTTCTGCTTTCGCCAGGCTGTATGTCAGAGACATCCTGCAGATGACAGAGTCCACACAGGTGCCAGGTAACAACAGCTAACTGTCTCTAACTTATAGAAACCCACTGTGTCCTGACTCCTTGGTATATCTATACATTATAACTTTCACACGTAACATTACATTTCTTAATACTTAACAACTTACAAACTAACGTCAGTTGCTATAAATATGATATTAGCAAGTAAGCTAACTAATTATCATTCTGTAAGTTAGCCAACTCTATTTATTATTTTTATCCTGTATGCACCCATGTCCCACAGGTATTTACTTCTACAACTCCCATCCAATTTACAAGGTTGATGTACTTGGGACAGTGGTTTACCAGAGAGAAAGAGAAGACTTCTTCTGTTATGGAGGTAATCTTGTTATTCCCCTCACCAAAATAAAAATAAAATATATATTCACTGATATTATTATATTTTATTAAACACTATACATTATGTATGTGCTTGTGTATCATTGACATAAATAATGTATGAAGTATTTCAGCAACATTCTTAATATTGTATTTAGGGATGGGAATTTGAAAGCAAATGTATATTCGATTATTCGACCCCCAAAAAAACGGTTAACCGAAATGTACATATCCTATACAAAAATGGGTTTTTAAATTAAAGAGGGATCATACACGAACAACATAATGGGTTAGGGTAACGTAACCCTATTACAACAGAGATCAACAACCTATAACCGGGCCTATGCACAGAGTGCAGCTATCCAATACTCATTCTTCTTTAAGAATATGAGCATGTTTACTCAGGGGAGAGGCGGGTGCGGAGGCGATTCACAATCAGGCCAGCTGTAGAGAAGACCCTCTCAGCTGGAATTTGGGCATAATGAGGTTTGAGTCTGCGTGATCTGATTTGAGGCTCTCTGGAGGAGCTATCCGAGGATACACTGATGGTGCATTTCCGGGAACAGAGATGTTTCAAAAGAGGTTTCTCAATACTCAAATTTCCCCTCCTCGACTCCTATCCTCGAGACTTGGTGCCGCCCACAGATGCGAGCGGAGGACTAAGGAGGGGAACCGAGGAGAGAAATGGTCGCTGAAATGGGGAATTTAAATTACGGGCCAAAAGCTGCACAATAATTCAAAGTAAGCAGAGGACACCAAAAATAATAAAGTATATCAAATCAAAATCAAACCAACTGAGACCCGTCTGTCCGCCGCATCTACGCACTGTACAACACACACACACACACACACACACACACACACACACACACACACACACACACACACACACACACACACACACACACACAGCTATACACACTGTACCACACACACCTACAGCTCCTAAAGCATAATCAGGATACAGCCGTTGTGTATTTTATTATGTGAAGCACTAAATGTTCTTAGAAAAATATCGACTCTTTGTTTGTATATATCTACTAAACTAAAGCAAATAAAGAGAGTAGGCCTGTTATACTGAGTGATATATATTATACACACTGCTCTGCTTTCTGCACGGACCTTACAGCTGTTCTCACTGTAAACATAGCGTTGCGATGAAAGCAGTTTCTAAAATAATATCCACGGAGGAGCCGTGGAGGAACCATCAGTGTATCCTCGGTTAGAGCTCCTCCAGAGAGCCTCCTCGATGCTCGGTCCTCGAAGTGCATTTAGAGAAATTAGATGTCCTTCAAAAAGCTGTGAGGTCCGTGCAGAAAGCAGAGCAGTGTGTAAAATATATATCAATCAGTATAACAGGCCTACATTACTCTCTTTATTTGCTTTAGTTTAGTAGATATCTACAAACAAAGAGTCGATATTTTTAAAAACCATTTAGTGCGTGCGTGCGTGCGTGCGTGCGTGCAACACGTTCTCACTCCCATCCCGTCACATATTGACGGACGGTCAGGGCCCCTCCCCGTCGCTATGTGACGTACAGGGTACCCCTTGCCCGTCAGGCTTCTACGGGCAGGGCGTCCCATAGACCTTCATTGCGGACAGCGGACCCCTTGACCGTCAGGCTTCTACGGGCAGGGCGTCCCATAGACCTTCATAGACCACGTGATCAACAACAATGGCCGACCTTCGTGTTATTCTCGGTGGAAAATGCCTATTTTAAGGTTCATTTGGCCAATAAAATGCGTTTTGATGTCATTTTATGCGAGTAATGAGTTTTTATTTCTGATTATTTGTGCAGTACATGTACATGATGTTTAGTTTGCTAGTTATGACGAAGATTACTTCATGAATGTGTACACATTCATGGTTGCTAAGGTGGTTGCTATGGACGCTGCAACAGCTCCCAGACCACGTGATCAACAACAATGGCCGACCTTCGTGTTATTCTCGGTGGAAAATGCCTATTTTAAGGTTCATTTGGCCATTAAAATGCGTTTTGATGTCATTTTATGCGAGTAATGAGTTTTTATTTCTGATTATTTGTGCAGTACATGGACATGATGTTTAGTTTGCTAGTTATGACGAAGATTACTTCATGAATGTGTACACATTCATGGTTGCTAACGTTTTTTTGGTGGAAATGTGTTTTTTCACAGCAAAGTCACCCTCTGTACTTGGACTTATTGGGAGAATCTAAAGGCAAGAACATCCCAAATATTCATTTAGGTCTTTATTTTAGACCTTTAGTGTTGCCGTCTGTGAGGAAAATAAATGGGGCTCAGAGCCTCGTATTTTTAAAATCTTTTTTTCCTTCTAATTTGTTATTCTTTTCAAAATAGCACACTGTTATTTACTCACCAATAACACACAATTATCCTTGCTTTTATTTATTGGTTTAATTTCATAATCTCGGGCTTTTTTGGCGTCCGTCAGGAACTGAATTTCAAAATAAAAATAACCGGAAACAGACGTAGGCATTTCGAGCGATTACCCAAGATCCTCAGCTACGCTGATTGGATGTTTTAGCCGCAATGCATGCTGGGATTTGGTGTTTATATTATATGAAATCCGGAAAACATTTTAAAATAATACTTAATTCCGAGCGCTCTTGCTTTTCTCTTTGAAAGTCATCACATAACGGCATTGTAATACACGGTTCGGCTGCATTGTATATTACAGATATGCCGTAGTTCTTTATTTATAGAGCCCTGATGAGAAGACCTTTGGAAAAACTGAAGAAATGCCGCCGAAACTGAATACTTGACGTGGATCATAAATATTTTAACAATTAAACAACATCTTCAATTTCTCTTCACACAATATGTCTCCTTGCAGTATCAACACTAATTCGGCTGACTTTTACATTTGATATAATTCATAGATAGGTTATATTTACACCATAACGGTGCACAGCTTATATAAAAGGATTTGTAGTTTTTAAAGATATTACTGATTTGAATTGGATTGCATTTTGAATGTAAGAATGTAAATACTGAGTCTGAAATAGTATAGCAATATGCTGTAAAATTATGTGAAAGCATGAATAAAACTACACATCTTCAGATGTTGTACATACAAGTGTCCAACGCTAATAATACAAAGTTATTATGGCTGTGTGTACCTTGTGTGCACCGCCTAGTGGTTAAAGCACGTTATTGAATTATTGTTTTTATGTGTTTTATTTGTTTAAAAAAATATTAAGAGTACATACTTTCATAGGGGGAAAAGTATAAATATAGAATATAAAAAATCAAGAAGATACTATAAGTGATCTCTACAATAAAACAGTTTAGTGCAGAATGTACAAAGATATTAATAGGAGGAGGTGCAAAACAGAAAAACTAATTAACCTTTATTTAAACATTAAATAACAGATTAAGGTCTTCTTTTAAATAAGAAAAAAACTTTGGGGGTATCTATCTACAGATAAATATTAAGCCTGACAAAGTACTTAACGTCTAATATATTGCTTTCCTGCAATGTTAACTATGTTGAAGCACTTATTTTAACTGATATTATACATATGGATTATACTCTTATGTAGATAGAATAAGAAATGTGCAGAATATGACAGTTTAATGGTGGAGGTACACACATATTGATAGATGTCTTGTAATGCACTGTTGAGGAACCTGTGACCCAAGTGTTTCATTCATTGCATAACTACACCGTAGTTGTGTATATGATATGTCAATAAACCTTTGAAAATCTTGAAAGGGATGTGCAAAATAGCCATAATATACAGTCTTTAATTAACTATTAGTAGAGAATAACGAGTAATTAATATACTTTATTACTCGTTTCCATTCATGTCAATTGCAGATACATGTTTAGTCTTCTCAAGCACCAACTATCAAATATCTCTCCTGATTGTTGGCACTTGACAATCACCTTACCTGAATTTTACTCAGGTGTAACTAAAGTCTGATTTAAGGGTTGTTTATATTTCACATAATTAATCAGAATCTGCAAAGTAACTCAAATAAGTGTAGTGGAGTAAAAATACCAGGTTAACCTCTGAATTGTAGTTGAGTAGAATTACAAAGTATCAATGAGCTGTCATGTGGGTATATATTAATGCTATATATTAATGCTGCGCATTATGGACAGCGATTTTCACCCATTTATTAATTATATGTTTTACATTTGATAACACCAATGTGTTTAATACTGGCAACTTCTAATTGTGGGGAAAACGTTCAGTAGAGACGTCCCATAGAACATTTTGCGAAACACAATAGTGTAGTGTATAGTTCTGGGGGGGTGTTCGATTCCAGTTTTGGATAGTCTGGCGTGGTTTCGTTCCATTTCAAACAGCTGTTTGACGCTCGGCGTAACCTTGGCGCACTGCCACTCCAACATCCAATCCCAGACCTTGAAGATTAATCACGGGGACTGTAGTCCTAAACGATAGCTGGGGATTATGGGTAGTGTAGTGTCTTCGGCCATCCTAAACTCAAAAATGTTGACAATCGCAATGATGCTCGAAATGTCCCTTATAGGCCTACGTCTGTTTCTGGTTATTTTTATTTTGAAATTCAGTTCCTGACGGACGCCAAAAAAGCCCGAGATTATGGAATTAAACCAATAAATAAAAGCAAGGATAATTGTGTGTTATTGGTGAGTAAATAACAGTGTGCTATTTTGAGAAGAATAACAAATTAGAAGGAAAAAAAGATTAAAAAAATACGAGGCTCTGAGCCCCGTTTATTTTCCTCACAGACGGCAACACTAAAGGTCTAAAATAAAGACCTAAATGAATATTTGGGATGTTCTTGCCTTTAAATTCTCCCAATAAGTCCAAGTCCAGAGGGTGACTTTGCTGTGAAAAAACACATTTCCACCAAAAAAATGTTAGCAACCATGAATGTGTACACATTCATGAAGTAATCTTCGTCATAACTAGCAAACTAAACATCATGTCCATGTACTGCACAAATAATCAGAAATAAAAACTCATTACTCGCATAAAATGACATCAAAACGCATTTTAATGGCCAAATGAACCTTAAAATAGGCCTTTTCCACCGAGAATAACACGAAGGTCGGCCATTGTTGTTGATCACGTGGTCTATGAAGGTCTATGGGACGCCCTGCCCGTAGAAGCCTGACGGTCAAGGGGTCCGCTGTCCGCAATGAAGGTCTATGGGACGCCCTGCCCGTAGAAGCCTGACGGGCAAGGGGTACCCTGTACGTCACATAGCGACGGGGAGGGGCCCTGACCGTCCGTCAATATGTGACGGGATGGGAGTGTGTGTGTGTGTGTGTGTGTGTGTGTGTGTGTGTGTGTGTGTGTGTGTGTGTCCCATCTTAGCAATACAATGATGTTGTTGCATATTTTGGATGAAATGTTGAGATCACTATTCTTTATTTACATCTCACAAACTGACACACACTCTCCTGTTGCACAATAGCCTACAGAGGAATTTGGCATCCTTAACTTCTCACAAGCTAAAACAGGTTTTGAGTGTCTCTTCTTCTGTTCACAGTGGATGATGGTACTGGCGTGATAAACTGCCTATGCTGGAAAAATGACTTGTTCAAAGAAGAGGAAAATTCTTCGAAATGTGAGTTTGATTTATGAATCTCAGTAATGCTTGTTTTGCTTTGTATTAGACTTCTAATTAAGCAGAAGTACACTAAAGTTGCCAAATCACTGCATATTGACTTCCAAAATAAAAGGATTAATGTACTGATTTTCATTTACATAATATCTGTAAATGTTGTCTCTATTTTGACCATGCTGCTTATCTCTCCATGAGAGTTAATTGCAGGTGTACCTAAATGTTGCAAATGAAATGACACACACAAAGTATATTGTCTGTAGCCCGTATACCTTTTTTTACTTCGTATTTTTGGTTTTGCCTACAGCTGTAGAGCACATCTTCCATTTAAAAGACAATATAAAAAGCAACACTATGAATATTACTTAACTATTGTCAGTATTAGTAAATGCAGTTTTATAACTGTATACGAGTTGTCTTAAAGGTACTCTTTAGAGCAGGGCTGTCCATTATAGTTCATGGGTCACAGTCATTGACCAAAGGCTGGACCAACAAAATCATAGCTTAAAAACATGTAAATATCCCCGACTCCAAATGTTTCCCTTTCTTTTAGTGTCAAGTACATTTGGAAAATGGTCTCATTAAATAAATGTACAAAGCAGATCATTAACAGTTAGAGATTCATTGAAATGACCTATTTTACATTACTACCTTTACTTGAACTACATTTCAACTATTCCTTTATAAATTACACTTATTTATTAACACAAACCACCGTGTAATATCCTAATATCCTATACTAATTTCCCCTCATCTCCAGCAAGTGTAAAACCCAGTGACGGGGGCTTTAACCCGGGGAGTGAGCTGAAGAAGCTGAGGCAGGCGCAGCAGAGCCGCTGCCGGCTGGAGATCGGAGAGCTGCTCCGGGTCAGAGGACCGGTGAAGACATCCAGACAACAGAGAGAAATCATGGCCTCCTGCTTCTGTGAGTGCACAGGACTGCCATGTGCTATTTGTTATCAGAAATGTACTCACCAGCGATAATACTCAAACTTATGTTTATATAAATATTTGTATTCATTGGTTTTAATATTATTTTGTATTAGATATTTTTACTTTAACTTATATAAATATTTTTATTTTATTTCACATTCTTATTTTAATATATTTTGCTAAATATAAACATCTTCCTTTTTATTAACATATTTAATTCCAGGTTTTTTAAATAAAAACCTGTAATTAAACTTTTATGTTTTTATAAATATATACATTTTATTATATTCCACATTCTTGCTTTAACTTGTTATGTTTATATAAGTATCCTATCTTATTTAATTTATTTTAATCAGAATCAGAATACCTTTATTCGGGGACATTTACAATAGTTACAGCAAAGAGCCAAAGACAGCTTAATATCTCTCAACAAGCATGTATAAGAAAGAAATATGAAAAAGAAAAAATGACACAATATACAAAAATTCACATCCAGTAAAAGTTCAGCGATATAGCAGCCATGTGAAAGTATGTACACATTCTGATTCTGATTAGAATAAGACTACCAATGGCCTTAAATACCAACATGTAACCGTTGTATCAGAAACTACACATGCTGAAACATGAACATACATTCTCACATGCGGCTTTCACACCAGCGCTTTTCCCTTTCTAGCTCCGAGCTAGAGCTTTTCTGGTTCAGCTCCGGTTTCCCTTTTCAGCTCCCGCTCTGTTCACACCACCCAGAGCCCGACTGGTGCTGCCGCTGCTGCGTCATGACGTCACCGTTTACATCGCTGATTTGCTCCCCAACGGCGTTACGGCGCTCTCAACAACAACGGGGAACTGCGTCGGGTCGATGATCGTGTTGCTTTTAATCACACGAAGCCAGATTAAATTGAATAACGACTTCTCCAACCTTATACTTTTCTCCAGAGTGCCCTGGTTCATTGTTTATTAATGTGTTTCTGCGGCATTTACCGACCGCTGCAGTGTTGGCTGCTCTTCCACGGGAGTTTATTCTCCTCCGTTAGCTCCCGGTTAGCTCACACTGCTGCGGCCGCTCTAAAGTATTCACTGTCCGACTCACACAAGCAGCTGATACATATCCCCAGTAACCTTTAGCCTAAGTGAATGTGGGTCAGTCTGAATTGACGCTGTTTGGCATCACAACGCTGTTATGAAAGTTTCTCTGGTATAAAATGGGTGATGTTAGCATAGCAACCGAAGCTAAACTGACTACTTGCTATTGCTATCCTATTGTGGCATAAACCGTTTTCTACAGGCACATTTTACCGGCGTATTTTTATTATGATTCTACTTGTGATAGTCGGACACGACAACCTGTGCAGCCCATGTATTGATTCCATCCGATAGCTGCTATAATAAAAAACAAAACGTCTGCCTCTCTCCACAATGATCAATAACAATGAACGCATGGTCAAAGTAAGGTACAAATAAACAGAATCACACGAAGCCTGGTTAGTGTTGCCTAGGGTTGCCAACTTCCAGAAATGGAAAAACGGGACACAGGCGCGCGAAGATTTTTGGGTTTCTGGCGGATTTAGTTACTTTTTTTTGTTACTTTATTTCGGGGTTAGGGTTATGTTATTTAATTATTTTGGGGGAGCCAGCCCCCTAGGGTTCGAGGGGTCAAACCCCCCCAAAACCCTCAAAATGCATAGAAAACTATGCATACCTATAACACAATACAAACACAATGGTCTTACACCTGCATTAGGCTACTATCAATCAATCAATCAATCAATGTTTATTTATATAGCCCAATATCACAAATGTTACATTTGTCTCAGTGGACTTTACAGTTTGTACAAAATATCAGTATGACAATATGACACCCTCTGTCCTTAGACCCTCACATCGTACAAGGAAAAACTTCCAAAGAAAACCCACAGTTTAAAGGGAAAAATGGGAGAAACCTCAGGGAGAGCAACAGAGGAGGGATCCCTCTCCCAGGACGGACAGACGTGCAATAGATGCCATGTGTAAATTGAAAAGATAATACATTTGCAACATAGGTAGTCCAAATGTTTGGAAATGCATGTGTGTATAATAGGAAAATGAATCCACGAGGATATCCATCCAGGACCTATGATCCAGGACCACAGCCACGACTCAAGATCCAGGGCTCGCGATCCAGGACAGAGGAGCGCAGGATCATCCATGACTCCGGATCCCGGCGTATATAGACACCAAAAAGAAAGACATTTGGGGAAGCTGGGTTAATCGGAACATGAGAGTACACAGGTATAGACAGAGAGAAGGAAGAAGTAAGATGTCCCCCGACAAACTAAGCCTATATCAGCAAAACTAGGGGCTGAATCTAATCAGCCCTAACTATAAGCTTTATCAAAAAGGAAGGTCTTAAGCGCACTCTTAAAAACGGATAGGGTGTCTGCCGCCCGAACACAAACTGGAAGCTGATTCCACAAATGTGGAGCTTGATAAGAAAAGGCTCTGGCTCCCATTGTACTTTTAGAGACTCTAGGAACAACCAACAACCCTGCATTCTTGGAACGCAATGCCCTAGTAGGACAGTAGGGTATAATGAGTTCTTTGAGGTAAGATGGCGCCTGCCCATTAAGGGCTTGGTAGGCGAGAAGAAGAATTTTAAATTCTATCCTGTGTTCTATAGGGAGCCAGTGTAAGGCAGCCAGAACAGGAGTAATGTGGTCCCTTTTCCTAACTCTGGTTAGTACACGAGCTGCAGCATTTTGAATCAGCTGAAGCGACTTGACTGACTTCTTGGTACACCCTGATAATAAAGAGTTACAATAATCCAGCCTTGAAGTAACAAATGCATGGACTAGTTTCTCTGCATCGTTTTGAGGCAAGATATGCCTGATTTTTGCAATGTTACGTAGATGGAAGTAGGCGGTCCTTGAAATTGATTTTATGTGGGCGTTAAAGGATAAATCCTGATCAAATATAACACCAAGATTCCTTACAGTCTCACTGGAGGCCAAATTAATGCCATCCATAGTTAGTATATCCTTAGATAATTTGTTTCGTAGATTCTTCGGGCCAAGTACAATAACTTCAGTTTTGGTCGTGTTTAACATCAAAAAGTTTAAGGTCATCCACGTTTTTAAGTCCTTAAGGCAGTCTTGAATTTTATTTAGATGATTAATTTCATCAGGCTTGATTGATAAATATAGTTGAGTATCATCCGCATAACAATGAAAGTTTACAGAATGATTCCTTATAATATTGCCTAACGGAAGCATATATAATGTGAACAAAATAGGTCCGAGCACTGAGCCCTGTGGCACTCCATGGCTAACTTTGGTTTGCATGGAAGATTCATCATTGACACGTACAAACTGAGAGCGTTCAGATAGATAGGACCTAAACCAGTCTAAAGCAATTCCCTGTATGCCAACTAAGTGCTCTAGTCTTTGCAATAAGATATCATGGTCGATAGTATCAAATGCAGCACTGAGATCGAGCAAAACAAGAATAGAGACACGTCCCTTGTCAGAGGCTATTAGAATGTCATTTGTGACTTTAACCAGAGCTGTCTCTGTGCTATGATGTGTTCTAAAGCCAGACTGAAAATCTTCAAATAAATCATTGTTTTTTAAGTAATCACACAACTGTTTTGCGACCGCTTTCTCAATAATTTTTGAGAGGAACGGAAGATTGGAAATAGGTCTATAATTGGCTAAAACCTCTGGATCGAGGTTGTGCTTTTTAAGAAGCGGTTTTATCACTGCTACTTTGAATGATTGTGGAACATAGCCTGATAATAAAGACATATTCATAATATTTAATAAATAAGTGCTAATTAATGGAAAAACTTCCTTCAACAGCTTAGTTGGAATCGGGTCTAAGATACACGTTGATGGTTTAGAAGAGAGAATCATTGAATTTAATTGTTCAAGGTTTATGCCTGAAAAGCATTCTAGTTTACTATCTAGTGTAATATTAGAAGTTACGTTTCCGGGAGCTGTTGATAACACTATACTGGTCAAAGGCAAGAGGTCATTAATTTTGTTTCTAAGAGTAACAATTTTATCGTTAAAAAAGCACATAAAATCATTACTACTGAGTGCTATGGGAATAGAAGGCTCAATCGAGCTGTGGCTCTCTGTCAGCCTGGCTACAGTGCTGAAAAGAAATCTTGCATTATTCTTATTCTCATCTATTAATGAAGAGTAGTAGGCTGCTCTCGCTTTACGCAGTGCTTTCTTATATTCATTGAGAGTAATATGCCAAATTAAACGAGATTCTTCAAGTTTAGTGGAACGCCATATCCTTTCAAGTTGTCTCGACTTTTGCTTTATTTTGCGGGTTTCGGCATTATGCCATGGAGCTAATCTATGTTGTTTCATTTTCTTCTTTTTCAAAGGAGCAACAGAGTCTAATTTTATTCACAGCGCATCTGTAGCACTATCAACAACATGATCAATTTGGGGTGGTGTACATTTTGTGTAAGTTTCCTCCCTTACATGCAGACATGCTATCGATTTAAGTATTGGTGGAATCTCTTCCTTAAATTTGGCTATAGCACTAACAGATAGGTTTCTGCTGCAGGAGCTTTTGACTAATGCTTTGTAGTCTCGTAACAGTACTTCAAAAGTTACTAAGAAATGGTCGGATAAAGCAGGATTATGCGGTTCGACTAATAGTTGCTCAATTTCAATACCATAAGTCAGAACAAGGTCGAGAGTGTGATTATAGCAGTGGGTTGGTTTATTTACACTCTGACAGAAACCAACAGAATCTAATATAGAGTTAAATGCAACAGTAAGGCTATTTTTATCATCGTCAACATGAATATTAAAGTCACCTACGATAATTACTTTATCTGTTTTAAGAACCAAAGTTGATAAAAACTCAGAGAATTCAGATAAGAATTCTGAATAAGGACCTGGTGCACGGTACACTGTAACAAATAAGATTGGCTGCAAAGTTTTCCAGGTCGGATGCGTAAGACTAAAAACGAGACTTTCAAAGGAGGTATCATTTAATTTTGGTTTAGTATTGACAAGTAAACTTGAGTCAAAGATTGCTGCAACTCCACCTCCTCGGCCCGTGCCTCGGGCAGTACATTGTACATCAGCATGTTCAAATCGGATAGGTGGGCACTAGGGACATCTGGGCACCTCGATGTACAATTGGCTATTTTGTCCAAAATGTTAAAAAATAAATATTTGAAAAATGGTATTAAGTAATGCAAAGTATACATGATGTGAACATGCACGGTACATCATTATTAGACTTAATGTTATCCTTCAACCAACCATTTCCCCAGCATTTTCCCATCAATCAGCTGACTGACTCTCACACACACACACACACACACACACACTCACACACACACACACACACACACACACACACACACACACACACACACACACACACACACACACACACACACGCAGAAGACCCGGGACAGATCTCCACTCACGGACTTTACCCAACTGTGTTTTTCTTCCACTGTTTGTTGTAAGACACAAGTCTTTTCTTTTATCTCACACACACACGTGCGAGCATTGTGCCTGCCCTGTCAACTGAGCGGTCCTAGTGCCCTTCACATACAGCACACAAACACACAGGCACGCAGCCAGACACACTGCATTGCGCGCAAACAGAAACATTTTTTATTTTTCCCTTTACACGGGAATCCGGGACAAACAAAGTCACGTACGGGACACGCCCCTATTGGCTCAAATACGGGACGTCCCGGCTAATACGGGACGGTTGGCAACCCTAGTGTTGCCTGACTTTATAAAGTGTGTTTATAAGCACTACTGCTTGTAGGCAGGCACGACAGTCGACCCATGTTCAGGGGAGGTGGGTTTAGTTTCCTGCACGCCTGGACGTACGAGAGACGTAAGCGACGCCGCCTCTTAGCTCCGAAGCTCTTGCCTCTAGACCGACAATTTTTTGGAACTGGAAGTGAACCGGATTCCAGAGCTAAGAGGCGGCGCCGTTGGTGTGAAAGGGGCAACAGTGACCCACACAGACTGAAAGTGCCTCGCAAGAACTTTCTTTATCCTATCACTGTGGTCTTGTTTAATGATGCCTTACATGTGTCTCTCTTTCTTACACAAGCACACACAATGCACATTCTTTATTTGAGAGTACACACCATCTACTGTACTGTATATCCTCTGCCCATTCATCACCTGTGTATCTGTGTGTGTGTGTGTGTTCCCAGATAAAGTGAACGACCCAGTGATGGCGGTCCAGATAGCGTGGATGATGGAGGTTCCTCAGCTCTACAGGCAGTGTTATGACAAACCACTTCAGCTGCAACCTACAGCAACCGGGTACGAGCATCCATCCCTTATATCGCACCATCACAGCATATTACATCACTGGTGCCAGGATTCCATTCAATTATTGAACATTTGACCACATTTCTAGAAAAATGTCAAAAGGAATGACTATTACCATGTTTCTATTCACATTAAATGAGAATTAGTTTTCGGTTCAGCAAGAAGGGAATAAGGGGAGAGTACGATATCTGCTCCTTACACATCTACACACTAAATAAACCAACACATTGACAGAGAATCTGGTTTTAAAAATGAAGGTATTGGTTCTGCCAAAAAAAAACATTGGCTCTTCCGCTCGAACCAATGGCTGGAACTGCAACAACTACAGCATAACTTAAATGATGGCAGCACTGATGGAGGTTTTCTGTAACTGTCCAAGTCTCTTCACCTTTTTTTAAACACTGACAGAGTCCACACCATGTTCCTGTTAGTGTTTACTTCCTGCCTCTCTTCTTCTGCTGTTCCTTTTATTTTTTATTTCTCTGACGTAACTCTACTATTGCGTTTAACAGAAAGCTGTTTTAGGTGATTTACTGTAAAAATCACAACACACTTGGGCTGCGCAATTAATTGAATTATATCAACGTTGCAATATGGACTAATGCAGCATTTAAATTGTAGGTATGTGTTAAAATATAATTTTTAAAATGGTGTTGTGTATATATACAGTATCCCAAATCTGTTTGGTTCATATCCTCTTAAAAAAATCCCTTCATAAATGTTGTAATGAGAGACATAAGAAGAGATGTGTGTCTCTCATAATGACAATTATGATAACAAAATTATCAATCCATCCATTATTGCGAATCATATCGCAATTGCAACACCAGTCAAAATACTAGCAATTCATTGTTTTTTTGAACACACACTGGCTGCTTCATTTAGCATGTAGCGTTTCTTAGATGTAAATTGTGCACACCATTCATACTTACCTTACAACAGAAAAAATACTAGGTATGACGCACATGTGAAGACACTGAGAGTTTTGTGGGCTTAAACATAATACAAGTGTTGCCCTTTAAAAGGTTGCAAAAGCAAAGCACATTAAACATCCCAACAATAGATTGCACTAAGGTATAATTCATATGTACATTTTATTAAAAAAACTCAAATAAATCAAATACATAGTTTCCTAAAGAAATTGTAACTAGTTGTCGGAGTTTGATTTGACTCGAGGACTATCAGTTATCTGTAGATAGATATACATTTAAGTGTAAGGCCCTGACACACCAAGCCGATTTCGGCCGTCGATAGATGTCTGGCCGCCAATGAGCGTCCTGTCGCCCTACTCAGATTGGTGTGTCCTGCCCCGTCATGTCTTTTCGGCCGTGCCGAATCGGCAGCGGAAGGTGTCGGCAAAATAAATCACTCTGATTCATCAGCTTAGCAAATCAGTGCATGAGAAGCAAAACGGAAGTGAGGTACGCAAACAAACGATTAGGCACACACGGGGGCCTTTCTCATTTCCCCTCTTCGAATCCTCGGTCCTCCGGTAGTGACCCGGAAATGGATTTCAGAGCGCCATGTTGAAGGACATCTCATTTCTTTAAATGCACTTCGAGGATCGAGCATCGAGGAGGCTCTCTGGAGGAGCTATAACCGAGTATACACTGATGGGTCCTCCGCGGATGTATTTCCGGCAACAGTGATGTCTAAAAGAGTCGTGACGCACGGCCGGACTTATCTCAGCCAATGACAGCTCTGCATGCATCCCCTGGCTATTATTTTATCAACTGCTTTAATCGCGATGCGATGTTTACAGTGAGAACAGCTGTGAGGTCTGTGCAGAAAGCAGAGCAGTGTGTACAATATATATCAATCAGTATAACAGGCCTACATTACACTCTGTATTTGTATACAAAATATATATCTCAAACTTTTATTATGAAGGCAGGATTTTCTAACGCTGTGCATGCAGTCGGCGTTGGACTGGAAGTACCGGAGACCATAAACGGTTATGAAAACTTATGTCACATAGTGATCTTCTCAATAAAACATCTTTGCTGATTTTTTTTCGAGTCTTCTGGCCAATCAGAATCAAGATTGTTGCCGGAAGTCCCCATGGAGAATAACTTTGCGGTAGAACTGTTCTTTATACATCCATGGGTACAACCTCAGATAAAAATGAACACATAATGAAATATGACCCCCGGTTTGATGATTGACAGGTCACAGAACAATGGGGGCTATCTACCCTTACCCACAATTTAAAGTAATTCACACAAACTATCTCCTCTTTGCTCTTCTCTACTTTGTAAGTAATTATGGGACGTATTTCTTCTTTCATAGCAATTTTCCTTCATACTGTCTTGCCGTGAAATAGGTCTTAAATTATATTCAAAGTGGTCTTAAAAGGTCTTAAAAAGTCTTAAATTTGAGTTGGTGAAACCTGCAGGAACCCTGATAATGTACAGCAAACCAAAGCACAAGAGCGGCCCTCAAAGAGAAAGGACAAGAGAGAACAAGGAGATGTAACGGCTAAAGTTAGGAAATTAGATGTCATACATCATCCTCAAAATCTCGATTTAATTATGTAAAGTGATTGTGTGATTAGTTTGCTGTGCCGTTGTCAGGCTGTGGTGGTATGAGGCCAGGGCAGGCTGTTGTTGATAGCCTACATGTGGCGCTTCTGAGTGGTTGTGTGTGTCCGTGCGTGTGTGAGCACATCAGCGTGCGCTTATGTTTGGGGCGTGTGTGTCCGTGCGTGTGTGAGCACATCAGCATGCGCTTATGTTTGGGGGGAGGGGGGGCCCAAAACAATATTTGCACCAGAGCCAATCACAACCTTGTTACGCCACTGGCTATACTACAATAAAAGTCAGAAGATACAGATTTACATGATGATACATCATTTGCCTGTCAGTGTTATGATGTTGTATACTAATATAATCTTGGATTATAATTACTGATGCATGGAATGTGGTAGCAGCAGTACTTTAAGGTTGCCAGCCACAATGTTTAAATAGTTTCTTTCTGCGCGTTACCCGAATATTTTCTGCAGTCCGTCATTTTGACAGATTAAAACAAACTCGGAACAGCGCCAAAGTTTCCCCGCAGCGAGGCTCCAGTGTTATGGCGTGTTATGCATGCCCGCCAAAAAGGAAATTATACCGTTTCCAGACCGAACTTTGCCGCACAAATCATTGAAATGTCTGTGAGTTTTGGATTTTTTACGCTGTGCGCGCTCCTGCAAGGTGCAGTGGGCATGCATAAAGGCCCCTACACACCAAGCTGACACCAAAGAACACGTCCCGACGGAACACGACTGTTGTGTCGCCTCACGTCTCATGCTTCTTGGCCAAGCGGCAAACTCTGGGGCAGAGCCAGGAGGCCAATAAGGAAGTGCCTTAAACTGCAGTTCATCAATTGGCTGATAGGCGATGACTGCAGAAAGGATGAATTTCCATAGACCCCCATGTTAAAATGCCCAACTTTACAGCAGAAATAAACATGTTTCTACCCCTGGATGCAATACAAAGTATTCGGGAGATAGTTAGATTCCACCTTAATGATTATTAATTGTTGAGTGAATTGTTTTATAACGCAACCCTTTTATTTATATCAGGTCTTAAACATTTTGCATAAATTAGGGCGTGGTCACTTTGATGGACATGTACATGCCTCACTGTCAGCTAACAGCAACTTGTCCACTCTGCTAGGCTACAACGTTAGCTAGTTGTAGTTACTGTACTTGACCCTTTAGCCGTGTTCGTGGTGATTGTGCCTTTTAGGGAATGTTGTTACAAATACCAGACAATTAAAATGTCGTGCTGTGCGGTTGAATGTACTAACAGAACTTCAAAGAAGTCTAAAATTATAATATTATACATGTTAACCCCGTTAGCAGGTGTTTGTGTGCTTGTTAGCTTGTTATATAGCTTATTAGCCAGCTAAGGACGTAACCCTTTATACATGTATATATATATACATATACAGTTTAGTTTATGATTCAGCCTTGGGTAAGACTTTTATAGTCTATGGATATGACGTCCATAATGCTAAACGGGAGCAAATATTAAAAGGGGACCCAATTATCCCAGTGGTGGCCGCCGGAGCTAACGGAGCCGCAGGGGGCTAGCTCCAGCCGGCGTCCCGGAGCTAGCCCCCTGGGGCTCCGTTAGCTCCGGGCGGCGGAGTCCGCCGTTATAACTGGAGATCAAGGAATGCAGCGAAACGCGGACTTGGTTCGCCTGCAGCCCGCTGTAGTCTTAGCTAAATAAATTATGTTGAACAAGGCTTATTAAGCTGAACATTGCCACAATTGTTCTGCTATGTATCGGTACTTATTTTTATTTTATTAATGTGTGAATGACAAGCATTAAGAATGATTGTCTCGTTTTTTTAGGAATGTAACGTTTATATAGGGGAACTACACTATTTTAACAAAACCAAAGTGCCACGCAGTAACTTGGTATGCATGTATTTCATGTTCGCTTAGCTTCTTAGCTTGAGCTAGCTCTGGAGCTTCCAGTTTGGTGGCAGCAGGTCCCGCCTCGGCTCCGCCTCTCTACCCTTATTTGGAGCAGGAGGGAGTTAGACTCTGACGTCACTGTCGAGACGTTAGTGGCCGACTCCGCCTACTAAGGGCTTCTCTGCAACTCTGCAGAATCCTATGGGTGATGTCACGGACACTTCGTCCATTTATATATACAGTCTATGGTCTTGGCCAACAGTCGCACTGGAACACACCGCAAAGACTCCAGCCGACGGCCAAGTAGCACGTACGAGCTGCGCATGCGTGAGTGGCAATAACTCTCCTTACCAGCAGGCGGCGGTAGTGTGTATTCGTCATTCAAAAGAGGCAACCGGAAGACAGACTGCGTGATACAAACAACAAATAGCGTGTAAGTTCCATTTTCACTCTCGTTCATCGAAAACATGTTTAGTGCAGTACTGGCTGTATCAGCCCTTGGACTGTTGCTTGTGGAAGCAGATAGATGAAAATGAAAAAGAATAGCCGTCTGTGTGCGCCTTCTTAATCGTTTGTTTGCGTACCTCGCTTCTCATGCACTGATTCGCTAAGTTGAACAGCCAATCAGAGTGATTTATTTTGCCGACAGCTCAGCGGAAGGTGTCAGCACGGCCGAAAAGACACGACGGTGCGGGACACACCAATCTGAGTAGGGTGACAGGACGCTCATCGACGGCCAGACATCTATCGACGGCCGAAATCGGTTAAGGCCGTCAGCGTTAAGGCCCCTGTGTAGGGGCCTTAACAAGGCGCTAACAGTTCACGAGCGTGTGCCCCCCATTCTTTGCGGTGTGTTCCAGTGCGACTTTTTGGCCAAGACGCAGGAGACGTGAGGCGACACAACAATCGGGTCCGTCGGGACGTGTTCTTTGGTGTCAGTTTGGTTTGTCAGGGCGTTAAGTATGAATTGTATAAAGGCCATTTTCTCTCTGTGTTGTTCAGTGAATCAGCTGTCAGTTCCATCGGCAAGGCAACCAATATCATCAAGGATTTCTTTAAGCAGAAGTCGGTGAGCAGGTTCAGGCCGTATGATGTCCAGGACCTCCTGCAGCCTCTGATCCCTAGACAGCCTCAAACTGCACCAGCAGACCAGGTACGCCCGATTATAATATTGGATCAGTTTATTTTTGAAGATGTGTGGAGGTGGGATGAAAGGAAAATCAAACGTCAGACTGTATTTGAAGTGTCCTTCAATATAATAAAGTATATCCTTCCAAAACATAGAAGAAAATGCCATTTGAAATGTAATTTCATTTTAGCACTGCTGTATTACCATGCTTCTCTGTTGCTACGAAGGAGCCCGTGGCGGGTCCATCTGCATGCCAGCAGCTCCGGCAGCTCCTCAAGGATGCCCTGAAAATTCTTCAGGATGAGGGTATTGTTTACCGCAAGGTCAAATCCCAGGATGAGCTTTATCATGTAAGAAACATCAGAGAGTCCTTCAATTATTCTTAACACCTCAGCAGGCTGTTAAAGTGAGGATGCCTTATGGACGTGTGTGTTCGATGTTGTTGTCCATCACCAGGTGACTGCACAGGACAAAGATCTACTCATAGCCGTCAAAGATATCATCAGGGAGGACTGCAAGAGAGAGAAGTGTAAGTACTCTTCAAGTATCAAGATTTTGATAATTTTTCTAATTCACCTTTATGGCAATGTTTTGTGTAAAGCAGTTACTTTAGTTAATAGTTAAATAGGACATATTATGCTAATGTTCAGGTTGATATTAGTCTTTTGTGCCTCTACTGTGACATGTCTCCATGCTTTAATGTTCAAAAAGCCCTTTATTTTTCTCATACTGCCTGTGCTGCAGCACCTCTTTTCACCCTCTGTCTGAAACCAGAGCCCAGTCTGCTCTGATTGGTTAGCTGGCCGCCTCTGTTGCGGTTGGTCAAGCGCTTAGAGATGTCCCGTCCCTTAGCCTATCACTTAAAATGTAATGGAGCGCTAACCAATAGAAGCGCCAGCGTTACATAGTGATGTCACTATGTAACTGAAGTAAACAAAGGTGTCGAATGGAGGTGTTTGAGGCAGTGCAACAAAGTAGCTACTTACTCATCTCTGCTTCAATACAGTGGTGTAAGAATGATTCTTTCTTTCTTTAAATTAGTTGGCATGTTACCACTTCCGGGTTCACTCGTCTAAATGTGAACATTAGTTTTTGGTTAGATTCCTGAAATAAGGTCCATGGTAAATACAACTGACCAGATGTTCAAACTTTGTTTTATGACATAACAAATTTCAGTAAACACACCACTGGTGAATGTTTAAAAAGCTTTTAAAAACGGTGGTTGCTAACAAATGACTTAAAAAGACTATTAAGCCTCATTATACTGATACAGTACTTGATGTGGTTTATTTGTAGCCCAACTTTAGCTTTCTACTTCTGCCAATTGCATTTTCAACTATTGAAAGTAATATCAGTATGTGGAGATTATCCTTCTGAACATAACCTGTAAGTATCATAAATGTGTTTGCCATAGATCTTGCTTTCTACAATATTCCAAATTCCATTGGAAACATTACATTGTTTTTGTTGAGGGAGTCCTTGTGATGGGTTGCTGACAAAAATACTTAATTACTGCACAACTTTATTAATGGCTTCATTTTCACTATAGAAAGGCTACCGTTGTGTGATACTCCTAGTAAAATTACATATTTCTGTAAGATTGTTGTAAAATTAAGGCCAACGAAAATGCCTAAATAAAAAGTCTAAAGCCTCCATCTAACCTTGGTTTCCATGGCCACATGCCTGTGTGTTGACAGTGTCTTCCTCCTGTGCCTGCAGATGCAGAGAAGGGTTGCCACATCCTGCACATCCTGTCTGCAGTCAGGCAGCGCTACAGCCTGAATGTGAGCAGAGCGGCACTGGAGCTGGTCCTCAAATCACTGGAGTGCAACAGTGACGTCGTCAGCACCAGCGACAGCCATTACACTGTGTTTTAACTTAGGCACAGTTTGGCTGTATATATATATATATATATATATATATACTATATGTAGTATGGCCTGTTACTCCAAAATGCGAGCATCCAATTGAAATAAATCATGTCATTTGTATTCCTTTGTTCATCGTGACTATTGTCAAGAACATCTCTTTTACAAAACCACTATTTTGGGATCCATTTAAGTCCATTTTTTAACCATGCTGATACAATTTTACAATCCACTGTTGTAATTAATAATGATAGTATACATTTCAAAATAAATAGAAAATATATAACTAAGTGGCTGTAAATGGCTGCATTAAAATGCAAGGCACCTCTTGGTCCCCATCCCTCTCAATTGATGTCCTCCCATCAAATATTTCTATTGCATCCCTTTACAGTATATCCAGTCTGACTGGCAAGGCACACAACAACTACATAGGATAAACCTGTAAGAAAAGCAGTGTTAAATAATAATACCTGTAGAGGAAACTTCTGTGTAGCTATGCAGTGGGAGTCACCGACTCAGGAAGGAGACACGGGAAGAGCAGTAGCTTTGATGTCAAACACATGATGGTTTATTTGGAGTTAACGGCCGGAGGATTCACATCACAAGTCCAAGAGTCAGAGGTTCTGACTTCACGGTAGAGTTGCCACGTCAATTATGAAGAACTCTACCCCAGACCCATGTATTTAGCTAGTTCAGAGAGCATCATCAACATGCTGCATAACAAGATAGAATGATAACACCTCTATCAGCTGACGCCAACAGGCAGGAACAGGGAGACAAAACACTGAGAGCACAGCAGCCAAGGTTACAGGTGCCTGTGCTCAGTCAGGACAGTTTGAACTGATACACTGGGTCAAAGTTATGGGCCTTGGAAAATATTTCCACAACAATACCAATTATCGGCTGTTACCATCTCTGTCATCATCATTTAAAAAAAGCAGTTGCAAGCACATCAAAATGCAACATGCACAAATATGTTGTATGTGGTTATATGTGGGTTATATACTGACATAAATATAATGCACTACTCATCCAACATGCATTATGCATATCTAGGCTGAGAATCAAACTTCTGAAAGTTGGACTAAAAATATAACTCAATTACATTTTTATTAGACTTTCCCAGTCTGGAAAATTCCCAAGTCTTTGAAACTACATGCCCGGTTTGTTTTACAGGCTTTCAGTTAAACACTTGCAGTCTCTGAGTCCATGTAGAAAAACATCAGAATCATGATGAGTAAATAATATCATGTGAAAATTCGTGGATTGTCAATTAAATAAAAAACGTTTGATTAGCAAGAAAGCCCTTTTAGATGTATACATTACATAACTACAAATTAGTTTTCCCTCATTGACCCCTTGACAATCTTTGCCTTATTGGTAATCCATCCTTACATCTTCCCATACGTATATTAAATGACTTCACAACAAAGCAGTTCACACACAGTAGGCTTGGAGCTTTTGAATCCCCTGGGGCAGATGCCCAGTTGGAGTTCAAGCCTTAGGCTAGTGCTTACAGTAAAGTCATTATAATAACAACAGAACGTCTTAAAATGTGATACTTATCTGATCTTCATGCCATGCAAACCTGTTAAGGGGCTTAATTCATTTTAGGTGTTACATTTAGTGAACTAAAAAGGAGTAATAAGTCCAAGCTTTAGCACCATGCCTGTGTTGCCGTGTGCACAGGGGGGCAGTGTTCGGTCGTTAATTGGCTCTTTCATGTAGAGCAGGTTGCTTCTGATTGGTCGCCTGAGAAACATCTGTATCCATATCTCCAGCTGCTCGTGTCTCTGGCCAGAAAGCTGCTCGTGACTCAGAGACCGGAGAGTGTGTGAACAAAGTGAGCACAGCTTCATTATCACACCGGGAGGAGTAGGAACATTTCAACGAATAACCTGCCGTTCGTGTCGAATTCAGGCCTGCATGTTGAGACACTACGTTACTTTATTTAATATGCTCTGAAGCGGGAAGGAAAAGTTCTGTGGCCCCGGGGGAAGATTAGTGAAATGATAGGCCGAGTGTATCCGCTCGTAACAAACACATCATCATTAGCCTTTCTCACAGTACGTTTCTTGTCGAAGAAGGCACAGGCACATCTTTTTGTATTGGATGCTTCATTCCAAATCGCCCTGAGGACGTGTGTGAAGCCCATCCCACTCCGTTCCCTAAATTAACTGCGCCTGCTGGAAGGCAGGAGGAGGTTAGGCGCTGGATCTGCCGGCTCCCTTCACATTTAGACACCCCGGTAACCTCCAGGTATACAGATGCCCCTCCAGTAGGCACCGCGGCAGACACAAAGGAACTCGCATCACTTTTTTTCTATTTGTAAGGTGACTGCCTTAACCAGCGCGCCGTCCGCCACCGGCCAGACTGTGCTGCTGAAGCAACGTGAACCCCACTCTGTGCTCGGATATTCGGCTGTGTGTCACCGCCACCGGCCAGCAAAAGCTCACATGTACTATTGATAAGTTTCTGATCATATTTATGGTCGTTGCGTCAGTCTGCGCCGCCGAGGAGCTGCTGTCTTCATGGACCGCTGAATTTTTAAGTGACACAGCGATGAATGTGGTGAATTCTCTCCCGTGATACAAGATAGCTTATCCGGAGCCTCAGCAGCTGCCTGTCAGTCGCTTTTAATGCATAGCCTTTGCAGGGTCAAGATGCAGTTTCGGACTGTACTGGACGTGAAAGTCGTGGACGTGCAGAAGAGGCGCAATCCGTCTAAACACTACGTGAGTTGCCTGCCTACATATCACCTTATTCCCACCTTGCCCCATTCAGAGGTGTCAGCGGTATCTCTGGCCTGTTCCCAGCCACAGCGTGACACCTAAACGCAGCATTTAGTCCATTAATGTAGCTAGCAGCTTCGTGGAGACCATCGCTAAGCTAACTCGTGTTAAGCAAGATACCTGCTTATAAATAATAAAGCAAACCGTTATTACTCTAGCTAAGCCCCCTCAATATTTCAACAGACATGGTTCATTATCACAAGTGAGCTGTCATAAATCTGGACTGTCAAACAAGCAGCCTGGGCACCTTCAACACTGTAAACTAATGCAGGCTATTACCTTCAATGTGTCAAGATTATCATGACTTCACTACTCATTATTATTTAGACTAGTCAGAGGTGTTTGGAGTCAAAACTAGTGTACATTCAGTTCTTTTTTAGGGTAAAGTGGTTATATATTTAATTAGTCACACCAAATGATTACATTCAGTAATGCCAGCTTACCTGTGTACTTCTGACAAGTTGTAAGGTGGAAGTAGGGTTGGGCAAATCATGATATGTGACTAAATATCTTCTTTGAATCTTCTTAAGTTAATTGTCATGCAATATGTCATTTTCTGAAGTGATCTATTATTTGCTTTACCTCTGTACATTTCTATCCACCTTACTGGTGAACAAGTATTGATTGAATTGAGTAAATACTTTGTGAAAGCACCAATAGTCAGAACTACATTATTGTTGCATTATCGAGTTATTTGATCAAAACTATTGTTATATTTTTGTATAACTATTGAATAATTGATTTGCTCCATACCGCTTCCTCAACCAGATAGACAGATCAGCCTCATGGTGTTTTAGTCCTATAGTACTACAGAAGTTCAGCAGTTCTATAATATAGCAACATTTTCATTATTCAGACTTAAATCTTAATGTGTATCTGAATATTTCACACGCTCAATTAACCAATATGTTATATTATTCCTATCATTTTAACTGACAATTTTATATACCTTCTCAGTGTTCAGCAGTTCCTGTCTAGGCTTCAAAGCCTGTCAATAAACAGTTTCCAAAGTTATAAGGATTATATTTCCATAAATGTTATCCCTCAGTTCAAAATTCAAGATAAGCCTGTCCGTATCCTAAAATGGTCTTGTTAAAAAAAAATTGAATTATCTGGTCAACATTTCCCAAAATAATGTCAACACAAGGTTAATGTAGTTCTTGTTCTGGAGTTATTGTTCAAATGACATGAACTTCATCAATAGATGGTATCTGCCTAGTGGAATTGAAGATGTTTAAATAAAAACAATGTTTGCACTCGAGGGGCTTTTAGTCAATGTGTCCTAAAAATTAAGATTGACCTTGAAAACAGCAGTTGACAAACTAATATCACCACGTTCTGCATTAAGTAGCATATATTTGAAAGATGTCAAACTAACTGTTTGAATGGACTTTTTGTTTTTATTTTAAGCTTGTCTGATCAATCCTTATTTTAAAGATGTTGGACACTTTATTCTCCCTATTTCAGTGACTATCATTCCCTTCCTGATCATTCCCTCCTGTGGCCTTCTTCATCAATACCTCACTTGTTATAAGTGAGAGTCTGTCTTTGGGGCTCGGCTCTCCATGGCCCCAGTTAGATCCTATTTTGAGCTCATAAACAAGACATAATAAATGACTTGCTCATATGCAATTACAGACCTGCAGACCCTTGGGCCTAACGATATGGACACAATTAACACGCTTATTCTCCTTGGAAAGTAGGAATTCACAGGGCTCTCCCCACATGTGTACTTTCTTTAGACATACTGCTACTTCTTTACAAGACTTGGAAAAATTATATGAATGTTCCCACCCAGAACATAACAGCATCTGCGAAATTGACATAGTCGATAAAAGCAAACACTGCCCATATATATTTGTCACCTGGGGTGGCCCCTGTAAACTGATACCTCAACTCTTGACAGTGTAGAAGCATCACTACAGAACCAGGGGCACGCAACTAGCTTTGGGCCGCAACTGACAGCCCCTTCACTCCTTCAACACTGTCGCCTTCAAGTACCCATCAAGTACAGTGCACGCAGCAGACTCCACATGGCAACTTAATTATAGTTTGCCTGGAGCTCTTGAAACCACCAGTACTTCCATACTGGAGGACTACCTGCCCCAGGTTCGCCGTGTGGCAATTAATTTGCGTTTTTTTAAAATTCAAACACAAACTTATCAAGGATGATATCAGCTGAGTTAATAATGGTCTTAAAACAAGATGTGGACATGGATTTAAGATTAGTTAGCGATGCATACAAATATTCTTCTGTTCACATTGTGTTTCAGGCTAAATCACAAGAACACACTTGTTTTGGTTGAAAACGTAGCTTTTTAAAAATAAAAACATGTGTACCTTTTAGTTTTATAGAAAAACAAAAGCATTTTAGGTCATTGCAATTGCACCTCTTGTAAAACTCCTTCCAGGTTAAAGATTAACAAACATTTATTTTTGGTGTCGCCAATTTTGGACTAGATCCCCATATGTGTCTGTTTGTGTGTGGCCACACTTAACTTAACAGCCTTTTGATTGTATTTTGGTAGGTTTCTTTATGGATATTTTTTATAAACTTTGCTTGTGTGGACAGGATTATTTTGGAAATGAACAAAGAAAATCCATGATTTTAAAAATAGCGGTGTACGCCTGGACTAGGCATGTTCTAAGTGCATATTCACGAACATATCTGTGTTTTCACATGACAACAAGCTAAACATGTCATATGGTTTAACAGCCTCTTATTGACTTTGGTCTTGAGAAAATGTATGTTTTTAAACGGTATTTGCTTTTGTTTCAGATGGGTTTACAGGGTTGATTGGTTAGACTTGATGAATTCAGAAAATCTAACGATCAACATTTTATATTATAAGATCCAATTAGTCACTTTGGAAAGAAGCGTGTGCAATATAGGCCTACATATAATTTAAACAAATAATAGGAGGAATCTCTTTACAAAAACAATCTTGGTTGCCCTTGATGATCCTCAAAGTTATCTGTTTCAACTGGAACTCATTTCCATTACAGAAATAGTCCCTATATAAATAGCTTAAAGTGTGTTACGGAGATAATACAGAGTAACCAGGCCAATGTTTCAGGAATGACACATGGCTATTGCAGGTTTTAAACTCATGTTGCAATGCTGTGCGCAATAACAAGCAGCAACAATAGTTTTAAAAGGTGGAAAATGACTAGCTTAATATTAGAAATGGAAGCAAGGCAAATAAGTTAGTTCGGTCTAATGTTGAAAAATAGGCTAATAGGCGCTTTCACACCAAGTACTTTGCCGTACTTAGTTCCCAGTACTTAGTTCATCGGAACTCTTTAGTTCATGGAACTAAAGAGCAGATCGCGTTCACACCGGAATAAGTCCCTGAGGGAGGATTAGGCAAATGAAGCCGCTGACGTCACTTCTTCTGCTTTGGGTTTACTGGCAGGCTGCAAACAACTTCACGGCGTATACTGCCACCCGAAGTCTCCGGCCGGAGGTTGGGGACTGGCTTCAGTAGAAGCTGCTGGGAGTCCCAGCAGCTTCTACTGAAGCCTTCCGAGTAAATCGCCAGAACGCCGACACCTCCTCATCTCCACCGCTCCCATGTTTTTTTTTGTGTTGCCATAAGTTAGTCTCTCTCCGTTGGTGCGCTGGGCTAATGCTAATAATGCTAATGCCAGCAAATACAATGGCGGCATCACAAAACTTTTCCGAGTTTTACGGGGCGTGGTTTGCAATTCACCCAGCCAATCAGAAATTGGAACCTTTTTCTCCCCAGGAAAGTCGCTGCTCTCTAGCAGGGACGGAAAAGGGGTGAAAAGGTTCGCAAAAAAAGTTCTAGTTCCAGATATTTTTGGTGTGAACGCAAAATCCCAGGAACTATCGGAACTATTCCTGGGAAAAGTACTCTGGTGTGAAAGCGCCTAATATCTACTAGCTAGTTAACATAAAAACCTAAGCCAAGCTAAGGCTAATGTATCATATGATAAACAGGAAGCATCCAGTTAGCTTATCTAAGTCACTTCGTCTGGCCAAGAAGTTATCCAGCAGATAGCCTCGTTTAAATCCAAAACTTGTAATTTTTACATTAAGGTTTTTTGGACAAATAGAGCGCCACAGTGACGCGTCCTAAAACCTGGAAGTGAGTTAGCATTTTACCACTTCCGGTTCCTTTGCCAAAAAGCAATGCAATTTCTCCATAGGATTTTGGAAAATAGCTCCAAATAAGGTCTGTGGTTGACCCAAATTGAAGAGACGGATCACATTTGTTCTACGACATTAAATACATCAGCAGTGACCCCACTGGTGATTTTTGAAGAGTTTACGTGTCTGAAAAACGATGGTTGTTAACAAGTGGCTGAATAGGACTACAGAAGTTGTCGAGGCCGTTGTACGTCATTACACCAAACACGTAAACACTCCCGCTAAGTTTGTTTGCCCTGTTCTGCTTGAAAGAAAGTACCTGCACTCTTGCAACGCTTCAACTTGTACAATTTTGAATCTGTATTTTTCAATAGGGATCTTAAATTGGCGTGACGTTGAAGCAGCGACCCTGCTGTAGTTTGTGTATAGCATAACGTTAGCATTTTGCTTCTGGCGACTAGATTTATGATTAGAAAATTATAAAAGTAGGGTAGACATGTGGATATTATCCGGCTGAACAAAACGTGATCCGTCTCTTAAATGTGTGTCAACCATAGACCTTATTTCGAACTATTTTCCAAAATCCTATGGAGAAATTGCATTGCGTTTTTGTCAAGGAACCGGAAGGAGTTTACTTCCGGGTTTCAGGACGCGTCACTGTGGCACTCTATAAACAAACAATATATGAAGTGCATGCTTTCTGTAGCTGTTTCCACCTGTTTCCAAGCTTTATGCTAAGCTAAGCTAGGTGTGTCCTAGCTGTAGCTAAATATTTGTTTCTCCTCGTCTATCTTGGCCAGATGACCAACTATTCTTTTAAAACCCACAC